CCTCTACCCATTTTATTAGACAGAATTAGCTTAAAATAGGTTAAATTGTCTTGTGACAGTTATTTGCATTATTGTTTGTTATTTTTTCAGAGCTACCTTCGATTTTGGTTTTTATTTTCTAACGAATTGAATTCAAGTTGAAATAATGCAATAATGCTCTATGTGTTAATAAATTTAAAAATAAATAAAAAAATTGATGTTTCCTAGTTTTAGTTCCAATATAATTTTAAATTGATGCATTGTTAATTAATTTATGATATAAAAAAGCATGTAATCTTTAATACTTTCTTATTGTCGTTATATAAAGAAAATATCAATAGGTGGGTCAACTGAAATGGGAAGGGGCTCGTATTTGTTTTAGATTCCATGTAAAAAAAGTTTCAAATCGACCAACATACGAAAACACCCGCACATATAGCAAAGCAGAAATCTAAAGACACTCGCAGACAAAGTCAACTTCCCTTGAAACAATATTTAGAATCTGGATCGTCTAGAAGTGAACAAGCTATTTTTAATGAAGATTTATGCAAAGCTTTAGTGACTTCGAATATCCCTTTAATACGATTAAATAATCCAAATCTCCGATCATTTTTGCAAAAATACTGTAAATTTAATATTCCAGAGCAAAGTATATTACGCAAACGTTGTGTTGACAGTTTATACATTGAGACTCGTGAAAAAATTCGTGAGATTACAGTTGGAAACCATTTCTACATTATTGTGGATGAAACAACATACTCTTGTGGTCGATATATAGCCCATTTAATGATAGGTTCATTACGCGAAGAAATGCAAATTGGTCCATATCTAATCGCTTCAAATCAATTAGATAAAACAACTTGACAATAACTCATTTTATCCAGACAGAATTGTCTTCCTTTTTTCTTCCGGAAGCCGTTCCACCAGAAAAATGTTTATTGCTGTTATCCGATGCTGCCCCGTACATGGTAAAAGCCGCACAAAATTTAAAAATGTTTTATGAAAACTTAATCCATGTTACATGTTTGGCTCATGGCCTTAACAGAGTTGCAGAAGAAATTAGGTCTAACTTTCCTTTAATAAATGATTTAATTAGAAATGTAAAAAAAATATTTCTTAAAGCTCCTCTAAGAACTCAATTGTACAAAGAAAAATTTCCTGAATTACAGATGCCACCGGAACCTGTGATTACTCGGTGGGGTACCTGGCTTAAAGCTGCCTTTTTTACGCAGATAATTATGAAAAAATTAAAGAAATCATATTTGATTTGGATGATTCATCTAAGGGAATATCTAATACAAAGAAGTTGTTTCAAAATCACATATTACCAAAGCAATTTTTTAAAAAATTATGCATTTGTACCCAAAATTATATTAGATTTGAAACAAAAAAATTTACCTTTGGTGACTTCCGTAAATTTAATTAAGACGTTTGAATCAGAGTGTAAAAATGTCCAGGGCGATATTGGAAAGACGATTTTTCATAAATTTTCAAATGTAATTTTAAAAAATGAAGGATTTATTGTTTTAAGAAACCTTGCTAATATTTATTCTGGTAACTTTGAAGATAATAATACTATTCATCCAGATATTTCAGGAAAATTTAAGTTTGCACCTATTACTTCTGTAGATGTCGAAAGGAGTTTTTCTTTGTACAAGTACATACTTACTGATAAGAGACAATCATTTAATACAAATAATTTAGGAAAACATCTAATTGTTCATTCGTTTTATAATAATGTTGATTTGTAAATAAAATTAGTTAATAATTAAATAATTATTAAGTATTATATTAGGTATTGTAAAATAAAACAAATAATAAATATTAATAAACTATTTCGATCAAATAACAAATTACTCTTATTGCATATGCTCTGCATATTTTTCAATTTTTTACGCATATATTGAACTATTTTGCGGCATATATCACATATGCGCATATTTAACTACTTTTTGGGTGCATATATTCCTAGGTCTAATGATTAATGATGTTAAAAAAAAATTTGGTGGATGCAATTTTTTTTTCAAATATTGATTTACCAAGAAAATTTACTGCATTTGTGACTGAAGATGGACATTACAAACTTTACAAAAGGCAGTATCTGCTTTCTTTTCTAAATTCTTACACCTTAATTTATAGTTTTTTTCTTATAATTCTTGGGTTTTGAGGTTATAGCTTTCGGCACTGATCAGTGCCTTCTTCAGTATTTTTATTTTTGTCATTAAAACCTTGTTTTTTTTTTTTTTTAAATAATGAGTTTACATCCGAAATTCTACAGGAAATTTTTTATTTAGTTTACATTTTATTATTATGTGTTTTAGCTTACCTTTGATACAGACCTTGGGGTATGTCATTAACATTGTTAAAATAAATGAAACCATTTTTTTATATTATTTTGTTTCCTACAATCCTTGTCATGTTGATGGTGTTCTGTAAGTCCGTTTTAGTGTATGGGTACTGAAAACCCTCTTTTTCTTCTTTCGGGCCGTCATAAAGGTCCGGATAAAAATAATTGTAATTAGTTTTTGAAAGGTTTTCTTTTTATCGTTAACTAACCATGCGGTCAATTCAAATAATAGAATTGACAGGATTGACAGGTATATATTTGAAGTGTGATTGTCATTTGTCGTTTCTTCTTTTTTTTGGTCTTTTATATTATTAGTGTTGCTGTTAGAGTCATGTATGTCATGTTGGTAAAATGTTAATATATTTTTTTGTTATTATTATGATTATCATCAGTGGTGTCTATATTATTATTTACTGTGATTATTATTATTCTTATATTTTTATGATTACTTATTATTATTATTATTATTATTATTATTATTATTATTTTTATCATTAGCTATTCATCAATTATGTATAATTTTGTTTATAGTAGGTTAAAATAGATTTGGTTTAGATATTGAATGTCACAGCGATCATTAATGGTATTAGCGTTTTTTTTATTTGTACCGTTTCTAGAAATTCACGTTTTTCTAAATTTTGTTATTTGCCAGAACATGAATTTAATTATAACAATGTAACAATACTTGTATGTATTACATTTAATAACTTCAGAACCTATTTTGAAATTACCAAAGTCTCAAATATGAACTGTTAACTGATTCTTTTTATTATGGCTGTGGAGCCGTTCTCTACCAACAAGATCCAGATGTAAATAAAAAAACATCAGCTTCGAGTAATTAGTTATTATTTGAATTCTTATTCAAAAGCTGAACAGAAAAAGTTTCATAGAGCGTTAACACAATTATTAAGTACATCGTCTTGCAATGTGGCAGTTATTTTTAAGAGGTTTTGACATGGAGATAAATCATTAAAGAGGATGGGAGATCCAAGATATGGGCGCAATCAGTAGAGTGTGTATAGATATTCCAGGAAATGCCCCAGAATCATTCTGGGGCAATTTAAACATTCAAAGTCTAACTAGAATGGAGACTGTAAAATATCTAGTAAAGACAAAGGATATAATAAAAAATATTCTTTACTCTATCATGATAATCCATATTCAAGGGGACATAATGGATATTACAAATGTTATTACAAAATTAAACAGCGCTTTTATTGGAAATCTATTAGTAAAGACATAAAAAATATATTAAAACTTGCTCGGTCTGTCAACATGTAAAATTTAAATGCCCAAACCAAATTATGTCCATTTAACTTCAAGCTCTCAAAACTCTTTTGAAACAATACATTTTGCCGAAATGTATAAATAGGTAAAAGCCAACAGAACTACGAAATCTTTTATTGTGGTAATTGATCACACTCACAGTAATTGAGCCCAAGTCGGGAAGGTACCCATCCTGTTATACTGGATCAGAATCCTCCTGATGACCACCTCCCCCTGACTTCTTGGTTTCAGGAGGCCTCAATTTACATCTTATGATTAGTATGCCATTCCTTCTGAAAGGGCTGTGAAGGATGACATATTATCAGCAATTTGGACAGGGTTTGCTGAGGGCATTTCCCTGTTTTGTCGTCCGTTTATTTGTCATGTGTGTGCCGTTCTATGAAAGTCGCCACCTGTGAAAGCTCCCTCAGTCTCCTACTTGGCGACTGGAGGGACCTTCGTCCCCAGGTGGTTAGTCATCATGGTAATTGATGAGGAACTAGATATGTTACTGCAAAAGCAATAAAAGAATCCAGTACTGCTGTGAAAAAATACCTTAACAAGTATCCTTTTATTGATCGAACAACGAACATAGTAATCGATTGTGGAAGTGCTTTCACTTCAAAAGTTATCACATAATGAACTACAAAAATAGGCATTAACTTAATAGCGACTACGCTGTACCATCCAGCAGGAAATTGCATAGCAAACAGGGTTATACGGAATTTGAAGAACTTCATGAATTGTTATAATAACTTTCCAGTAGGATGGAAAGTCGCATTTGAATGTGCCTTACAGCATCACAGCTGTTTCCCACAATGAATACTTGGGATGTTCATCATAAATTAAGTTGCATGGGAAAAGTAAAATTTTACCTGCAGATAAAGAACTAGGTATAGAAATCGACATTGAAAAAAAAACCTAAAAGCCTAGAGTAGCAAATAAAATACAAACACAAATTCAAGAACAAGCTAATAAATTTAGTAGAAGAAAGCCATCTAAACTTAAAGAAGGAAATTGGATTTTAGTTCGAAACCAGAAAATTGGTAAAGAATACATTACCAGAGGTCCTTTCCAAGTTTGCAAAGTAAAATACATGCAAGGAGTTCTAGCATATATGCAATTTAAGAACGCAGATAAACAAGAACGTGCTCATATCAGCAATATTCGCGAATTTTATCACAAGAGTGATAACTTCTTAGAAGGGGAGACATGCTGTATATTGCGCTATGTAATAAACATTTGATATAGATTGTTAATTGTCACTTTGATATATTTTAGTTAATTAAAGTTGTCTTAATTCTGGGGATACTTTATTACATTTTTAACTTAAACAACTACATCAATTTTTTATTCAAAGCAAATACGTACAGCTAACTAACTGACTTTTTTTATTAATTATTTACAGTTGGTCGGGAAACGGAGAGCGTCATTCAAAAATTCAGGAAAACCTTCTCTCTGCACTTCCACCATCCGAGAAAATCTAAAGGCGATATCAAGGATGAAGTTGTGCAGTCGCCGCCTTCCTTGGATCTACCACCCGATCCATCCGAAGAGGAGTCGTTGCCCTCTCACGTGCCGCCGGCTGCGGCGTCGACCACGTGTCAGATCGATGTCACCGCCGCTTCCCCGCCCCCGCCGAAATTAGAGGACGACGGCGATATCGGCAACGGTGCAGAACAACAGGAGCAACAAGCGCCGACAGCCGGCGCCGAACAGAAATACAAGTAAGCAATTTCTTTGGAAAAGAGAGTGTGGAGAATAATGACAATTGTTGCATGTTTGTTTGTGTCTGTGTCTACTTTTTGTGTGATAGAGTGATTGAATGCTAAAGCGTAAGTAATTCGATTTAAAAAGATTCACCGCTTCTTAACGACTCTCTTCTAGCCATTTTATATACGTATCTAGCACTTTATCAGATGAACATAATTTCTTTACCTAAAGAAAATAAATTATTGTAATATTAACACTTATATGCACGTTTATTATGAATCTAGTTTGGCTATTCACGTCATTTGGGAGAATGCGACTTGTGTGTTTACAAGAGAATTCCTCTAGGTAAACTGGGCACCTAAACCTTCGTATCAGCATTCGTAATTAATGTATTCTGATTATGAGGACCGCGATTCATTTTCCATTGACGCATGGTCGATGTGATTCCTTGTATTTTCCCCTCCCAATCCTTAAAGCGCGTCCCATTTTAGAGTATGATGTGCTTTTACCACACCGCCTACAAACAGCATCAGCATTTATGCATCGTTTGTAATGGTACAGAAAAAGTAACTATTCTGTGGTATTGGTATGCATGTTTCATTATTATACAGTGAGACAGCATATAAAAAATGATGTTTCTGGTTGTCGTTCAAAAATATCTGAAAATTATTTAATTTGTTCCCTAAAATCTTCCTTTCATGCTTTAACTCTTCTTCAAGAGACTTATTTTTTTTGGCAATATGGGAGTTAGCTGTTAAATAAGTCTAAATTATAAAAAACCGTGAAATGCAAAACATATAACTACATTAATAAGTTGTAAACGTTAACGATACCAAATCAAAACCTGTATACACCTCTAATTTCTTGAGATCCAATTCATTCACGCCTGCTCTAGTTTCCTGGTTACTTGAAATTCCCGGTTCGATTAGAAACAAATTTATGACGAGAAAGAACTCCAAATGCTGTGCATTATATATTTTCGACGTTATTTTTATGACATCTTACAAAATTCTCAAAATTCACATTGACCGCATTTTAAATAGGCGGATAATTTGTCTTTTTTACAAAATAAGTAAAAATAAACTCAACAATAATATAGCAAAGCAAAAACTTTCTCGATGTAAAAATATATATGGCCAATGTGTGGAAAAAGAGCTTGGGACATGGATAACATGCGTCAGTTTCTTTACCATCCACATGTTTGCCAAATGATGCTTGTTCATACTGTATGGCTTAAAAAAAGTTATTATATTAACCCATTTTTTTTTAATATTTAGGCTAAAACACTACAAAATTTGGAAAAGTCCAAAATTAAAACATGCTGCATTTGAAAGGTTGGTAACAATATCAACAAAATTACTTTTTTCTTAAATAGTAATTGATTGTAACGATTGTTTATTTATTAAATACAGTTTGTTTATAATTTATTTAATACTCACAATTTTAATTTATCTATTCTATAAACACTTATATTGAAACCTAAAGTCTACCGAAAAATACGCGCTAATTATATGAAGCCAGCTCTGCTTCAGTAGATTTCCAGGTTCTATAAATCCGGGAGATTGTTCCATGTATATCTCCTCCTCTAAAACTCCGTTGAGGAAGGCATTGGTGATATCTATGTGAGGAATTCTCAGTAGCTAAAGCAAATAGTAGTCTCAAAGTAACTGGTCTTACAACTGACGCAAAAACTTCTTCAAAACCTTCTCCCCATTTTTGAGAAAAACCCTTTGCTACTAACCTTGCTTTGTGGCGTTGAATCGTGCCATCAGCTCCAATTTTTTATTTAAAAATCCATTTGCATTTTACCTCGTTCTGGCTTCTGGGAAGATCAACTAGAGTTCAAGTCTTATTTAAAGATAATGAATTTAACTCTTCTTTGATAGCAGACTACCACAAATCCCTATCGCATCTAGAACGGACATCCTCGATATCAATTGGATCAGTGAACACATCTCTCACCAAGTACAAATGTTGTAGGTGTTCATACCTTTCAGGTGCTTTTTTGTTTCTCACTGGATACCGTCTCTCCGTTTATTCAATAACTAGAGAATCAGTATTAGATTCGGAAACCTGAATAGGAATAATCCCACACTGTGGAACAACATTTTCGTCTTCCTCAAATTCTCGACTTTCATCTTTTGGAACGTCGTCAATAGGGTAAGTAGTTTCTATAATATTTTTATGGTTTCTTCGACTTTATTCAAAGCAATATTTCTTTTAGGAATCTCACAATGCATTTGGTTCGAAAAAAATTACATCCCGTGCTTTAATAATCCTACGAGGATTTTTTAGATCTATTACACGATACCCTTTGGATTTTTCACAATACCCAACTAGAATATATGGGTATGACTTTGGATCTAATCTTCTTCTAAGTTGTTTTGGGATATGTGTTGAGAACCAAAAACTTTCAAATGAGACACATCTATTCTATCACCGGTCCAAACTTCTTCTGGTACCTTATCCTTGACTGCTCCAGTTGGTGATCTATTTTTTTAATAAATGGCAGAATATATCGCTTCTGCCCAACAATTTTTTGGCTTCCAACAACAAACATCTTGTCTTTTAACACCATTTTGTTGAGATGTATACTTAATAGTACTTTGATGAATAATACCATGAACTATCAGAAAATCTTTCATATCTTTGTTCATGTATTCAGTGCCATTGCCACTACTTAAACATTTAATCTTTTTGTTTGTTTGATTTTCTACCAGTGCTTTACTCTTCTGTTTTAACATAAATCTAAACACCTTTTTGCTATAGTCGTCGACAAAAATTAGACAGTACCTTGCTTCTCCCCAGAATACTTCTTTCATATGACTGACAATAATATCAGAATGGATAAGTTCTAGAAGATCTTTAGAACGTCTGGCTTTCTTTTTTTGTAAACTTCTGGACAGTTTGCGTTCCTTCGATACCCTTGATATAAGGCTCATCATTACCAGCGGAAAAGTTGAATCCAGTGATCATATTTTTTTGAGCATTCACATCCCTCTGTAGTTTAAGTGCCCTAGACGCCTATGCCATAGATTACAATCTGAAGGAAACACAGATAAAGCTTTCACTTGATCTTCATATTTGTCAGCAACATTGTGTATAGCACCAAAAAACTTTACATTCTCTCTAATTGAAAAATTCGATTCTTCGTAAAATTTGGAACCAAATTTATCAAAAACTGCTACGTAACCTTTTTCAGTTACCTTACTAACTGAAAGTGAATTGTTACTAAGGGTAGGCACATACATGACTTCAGAAATGGTTTTTGTGGATTTTTGCCAGATTGGTTGAGATTTATAGCCACACTTCCCAACCCAACAGATTTAATTTTCTCCCCATTTGCAACTGCTATGTACTGGATTTGACGTTCTTCAAAATTTACTATCCAGTCCTTTTTGAAAGTCATATGCGAAGCTGCTCCCGAGTCTATTACCCAATCAGCTGTGGAATTAGTTACCAACACTGCAGAAGTTAGCAGCGTTTGATTTTTATCGTTTAATTTGGGACAGTCTGGCTTTTTATGCCCCCACAGGAGTAGGTCTCTCTGACCCTTGCATCTTCTTCTATAAGCTTAGTTTTCACCTCATCTAACAAAAGTTTATCATTATTATAAGTTATCGACATAACTAAAGCTTCATGTTCAGAATTTAAACCATTTAACATTACAAATGCAACAAAGTCGTCTTCGATGGTGACACCTATACCCGCCAGTTTGAAAACTGTTGACATTATCTCACTGATGTACTCCTCCATCGAATTATAATCATCCCTCTTGGCCCTGAAGAGATGTCTTTGTAAAAGTAACTTTCTCTTCATGTTCTTGGATTAAAAGCTTTTGCAAATTATCCCATGCTTGTTTGGATGTAGTAGCATTATAAACATGAATATAACACGTTGGTTTAATACATATATTTTTGCCAGTGCTCTATTATCCTTTTGTTTACTTAAATGATCAGAACCTTCAGTACCCTCTGCTACTATATCCCATAGGACTCTAACATCAAACTCATCTTCATAGCGAATTTCCACGATGTATAGTTGCTTTGTCCCTCCAAAAATATCGATATTTGGTACGAAAGTTGAAAAAGATTGCGTAGTAGTAATGGTTGGGGTACCAGCTGTATCTTCAGAAGATGACATTTTTCACAAAAAACTATAAATCTTTACTTAGTTTTTCATCGCTTGGCTCATTTCCTGTTGCAGCTATGCATATTTAAGCAATATTTAGTTTTATATGTATTATAAACCAGCACAAATAAAATAGATTTGATTTTCGTGACAATATATATTTTTTATTACTAAAATCAATACAATGACAATTATTTACATCAAGTAAACGAAGAAATCAAACACAAAAAGAGTAGTAAATGGTCATTAGATTAGATATCTCTAATAGTTGTATTAATAAAACTTGAAGTTTGTAGTTTGCATACCTGTATTCAACCTCTTGTGGTAATGATAATATGGGCAATAAATTCTAACACATACACTTACCATACTAATCCACTATTTTACTAATTCGTTGACACAAATAAGTTTTAAAAAAGAGAAGCTACATAATGTGGTCATACTGATAAATACTTAAAATATTCAAGCCAAGAGTGATAGCTAAAAGGATAGACTAAAAGCTTACAGGAATTAAACACTCAAAGTAAGTGTTAAAAGTAATATTAGAAAAACAGCAGCTCATTATTACTGAACAGTCATATATTTTGTATCTAAGCTTTAAAGGTACATTACAGAGTGATCGATTATAAGTGGTCTAAACAGAGTGGCCCAATTAAAACAGTCCACCTTAAATATTTTTATTGGAGAAGGGTATTTGATTTTGAATGAAACGCAATTTGCCCTTATAGCTTTGTTTAATTCCACGATGAATTTTGAATCTCCTTTATAACATGACAAATCTACCATTACATTTTACATACATACGACAAGTGACAAGTTATAACAAAATGACAGGAATGACAATTTACAGAGTAACCAACTTGGTGATATTAAAATATTAAAT